ACTTTCAATCCTGGGGTGTCTTTGGGTCTAAAATCAGTCTCTTGCAGACAGCATAATGATGTGTCTTGCTTTTTTTAATCCAATCTGATAGCCTGTGTCTTTTGATTGGGGCTTTTAGGCCATTTACATTCAGGATAACTATTGAAAGATAGGAATTTAGTGCCATTTATTGCCTGTAAGGTGACTGTTACTGTATATTGTCTGTGTTCCTTTCTGGTCTACGTTACTTTTAGGTTTTCTCTTTGCTTAGAGGACCCCTTTCAATATTTCTTGTAGGGCTGGTTTCGTGTTTGGAAATCCCTTTAGTTTTTGTTTGTCCTGGAAGATTTTTTATTTCTCCTTTTATTTTCAATGACAGCCTAGCTGGATATAGTATTCTTGGCTGTATATTTTTCTCTTTTAGTGCTCTGAAGATATCATGCCAGTCCTTTCTGGCCTGCCAGGTCTCTGTGGATAGGTCTGTTGCCAATCTAATATTTCTACCATTGTAGGTTAGAGACCTCTTGTCCGGAGCTGCTTTCAGGATTTTCTCTTTGTCTCTGAGACTCGTAAGTTTTACTATTAAGATGTCGGGATGTTGACTTATTTTTACTGATTTTGAGGTGGGTTCTCTGTGCCTCCTGGTTTTTGATGCCTGTTTCTTTCCCCAAATTAGGGAAGTTCTCTGCTATAATTTGCTCCAATATACCTTCTGCCCTTCTCTTTCTTCTTCTGGGATCCCAATTATTCTAATGTTGTTTCATCTTATGGTATCGCTTATCTCTTGAATTCTGCCCTAATGATCCAGTAGTTGTTTATCTCTCTTTTTCTCAGCTTCTTTATTCTCCATCATTTGGTCTTCTATATCACTAATTCTCTCTTCTGTCTCATTTATCCTAGCAGTTAAAGCCTCCATTTTTTATTGCGCCTCATTAATAGCCTTTTTGATATCAACTTGGTTAGATTTTAGTTTTTTTATTTCTCCAGAAAGGGTTTCTCTAATGTCTTCCATGCTTTTTTCAAGCCCAGCTAGTATCTTTAAAATCATCATTCTGAACTCTAGTTCTGAATCTTACTAATGTCCATATTGATAAGGTCCCTGGCATTCGGTACTGCCTCTTGTTCTTTTTTTTTTTTTGAGGTGATTTTTTCCATCTTTTTATTTTGTCCAGAGGAGAATAGATGAATGAGAGAACAAAATGCTAACAGGGTAACAATGACCCCAGAGAAATATACACTAAACAAATCAGAAGAGACCTGAAACCGGGGGAAAAGTAAGGGAAAGAAAGAAAAAAAAGAAAAAGAAAAATACAAAAACAAAGAAACAAAGAAAAACAAAAAACAGAATATGATCAAATATGATCAGGCTGGTGCATAGATGAGTGTCACACACTAGATTTTGGGCGTATTCTGGTCTGTTAGAAGAAAGTGCTTCTCAAAATTTTAAAGAAAAAAACTTATATATGTATAAAAATAAGGGTTAATACGATGAAGGGATGGAATATGACCTTAAAGATGAAAATTATAAAGATTTTATAAAAGGAATTTATAAGATAAGAAGTTGGTTGAATAAAGAAAGAAGATGATTTAAAAAAAAATGGAGAGAATGTGATCAGGCAGGCGACTAGAACAAAGCCATACACTAGAGATTTAGGGTATGTTTTGGTCTCTTAGAAGAAACTGTATCCCAAAATTTTAAAGAGAGAACAACTTATATATATAGATATATACCAAAAATAAGGTTAACTAATATGAAGGGATAGAATATGACTCTAAAAATGAAAAATGAAAAGAATTTTAAAAAACGGATTGATAAGATGTTGGTTGAAAAAGGGAAAAAAGAAAAATTCAAAAAAAAAGAAAAGAAAAAGAAAGTTAAAAAAAATTAACTTTGAAAGACTAAAGAATCATGGGGGGAAAAGCCATGAATTCTATGTGCTGTATTCTCCTAGCGCTGGAGTTCTGCCGTTCTCATTGATTGGTAAACTTGGTCTTGGCTGGTCTTGCTGATCTTCTGGGGGAGGGGCCTGTTGCCGTGGTTACCAAATGTCTTTGCCAGAGTCGGAATTGCCCCGCCCTTGCCAGGTCCAGGCTAACTAATCTGCTCGGGGTTGCTCTTGGGAACTTTTGTTCCCTGCAAGCTTTCTGCACAGCTTTGGAGGACAAGAGTGAAAATGGCGGCCCCCCAATCTCCGCCCCAGAGGAGCTGAGAACTTGGGGCCCCGCTCCTCAGTGCGCCCCCAGAGAAAAAAGGTCAATCACTCCCGTCTCCCAGTCTCCAGCCTCACTCCGTGCTCACCTGGCCTGTGACTGAGCATTTCTATCTCTGGCTCATGACCCTGTGTGGAGTCTCCAAACCCAGCAGATCCCTGCGGTGCGCTCCCATGCTGCTCCTCCCGGGCGAGGAAGGGGAGTCTCCCTGGATCTGCTGCTTGTTGGGTCCCTGCTGGAGGAGCAGTGGCCCGAGTGTGCCACGAATCATGGTTTATGGCAACCCCGAGCCGAGAGCCCACTCCTTGGCTCCGTCTCTGCAGCTGGCTTCCCCGTTCTGATACCTGGGAGCTCTGCCCACTCAGGAACCCCCGGTTTTTCCGTGACCCCCAGGGTCCTGAGACCACACTGTCCCAGCGAGTGTTCCAACACTGGCTTAGCCACTGGAGCGACGTCCCTCAGCAGAGCTGACTTCCAGAAGTTCCAATTTTGTGCTCTGCTGCTCTATCACTTGCCAGAAGCTGCAGACGGAGGGCCCCTCCCCCGCTGTCTGTCTTCCCAAATATCGCCTCGGATTCACTTCTCTGCACGTCCTACTTCCAGATAGTTGTCGCTTTTCTGTTCAGAGAGTTGCTGCTATTCTTTTCTTTGATCTCCTGTTGAGTTAGTAGGTGTTCAGAATGGTTTGATCCCCATCTAGCTGAATTCCTGGGACCAGACGAAATTTAGGTCTCCTACTCCTCCGCCATATTGCTTCCCCCCCCAGCAGTGAAAACTTTTAAAGAACTGTTTCTGTCATTTCATGAATAGGAGCCTTATGGGAAAGGACTAAACCTAGAACACCAGAAAAGAATTATTTCCACTAAATATTTGTACATGCATAATGCATTATATTCAATTATCCTTTCTTTATTTAATAAAACATTTATATATGCTTACCATGTATCAGGAACTTCTTTGAGCAATTATTGTCTAAGCCATTATAATTATGTATATCTAAATGAAGAAAAGATGTAATCTCATTTCTGCTTATATGTAGGGTTTGGAAAGCTGGAAAAAGCATTGTTCCCACACTAATGATAAGAGAAGGCTGGATAAACTACAAATCATACTTCTTCTGGAACTCATTAAGGATCTGCAGGCACAAGGCAACCCACCAGCTGGAATCCCAGTTAAGGAAGGGCACCTCTTCAGTAAGAAAGGACACACAGACTCACTTATGGCAGAACAGGGGAAGGACTTAATATTTCCTCAAAACCCTGCAGAGTAAGTGCCATTCTTTACTCCTCTCTCTAGATACAAGAACAGAACCATGGAAAGAGGAAATAATTTGTCCCAGGTCATCTAGCAGGAAAGTGGTGCAGTCAGGATCTCAACCTTGTTGGTTTGGCCCCATCATCTTCCCTCTGAGCCACTATGTGATGTGGCTTCTATCATCATTACCTGGCCCTGCACCCAGCACCCAGAGGAAAACACATAGATAGAACTAATGTCACTGCTCCTGAACCTTTCACCTTGTATTTGACCCCAACGTGTGTGAGAAGATTTATAACTCTTATTTCATATAACAGAGCAAGGATAATAACCACAGAGTCAAGGAAGAACATGAAAAATTCTTGGTTACCTGATACAACATTTTTGTCAGCTGAGGAAACCACCCAGAGAGGTTAAAAGACTAGTTTAAGATACAGGTCGTAGAGACCCAAATCTTGACTGACTGAGTGTTAAGGCTGAAAGAGACAGAGGCTCAGGGTTCTGGTGTCGGGGGATGGGGCACAGGGGACATTACTCTTTTGTTATAGTCAGCCTTTGTGAGATGTGGACTCTTACAGGGACCAAGGCGCCCACTCTGCTGATAGGGACAGAGCAGTTTCAGTGGCCTTTGGCCTTGGAGAAAGAGTAAGGAATGATTATAATGACTTCAACCATAGGAGATAAAACTGAGAATTAGTATTCTGGGAATCAAGACTCTTAGAAAGGACAGAGAGAAATATGTGCAGACCTGTGCTCTGCTGGTCCATGGACTGAAGGAGCACACAAGCTTTTTCAACTTTCTCTCTCGACACTCATCACTTCTGTCCCTGCTCTTCTGATGGGAAGGACTCTGCTTCCCATTATAATGAAACCAACCACTAACCCAGTGAATAAGGATGAAGGTGAGGAGGACAAGGACCCAGAGAGGGTCAAACTTCCCTTCTTGGTTGTTTTACACAGAGGAGAGGAGACTCAAAATATCTTTCCTCTGAACCATCCTTTCTTTCCTGAGAATGGGAGAGCAAGTGCTAAGACTGTGATAATGTTGGGGTAGTGGGCACTTCAGAGTGAAAAGGCTCTGGGTTTAAATTCTATCTAATTCAGCCACACTGAGCCCCAGTGTCCTCCTCCATAATAGTGAGACTAAGAAATGCCCACACTGAGTCACTGGTGTGTTTAACCACAGCTTCAAAATGGGCAAGGGAGAGGGCACAGCTTATCCTTAAAAAAGAGGATCCTAACAACTCTAGTCACTCCATGCAAATATTTTCTTTTCTGCATACGTGTAAGAAAAGACACCAGATTCTGCAAATCAGACCACCTCCCTATCTTTCCTAGCACCTTGCCCTCATTGCAGGTACTTGAGAATGGGAATGCAACATGCCCCTCCTGGGACCCGGTCTTTTGGTATCACACAGCTTTAGGATTGCAGAACTTTGGCAGGGCTGGTTGGAGCAAAGAGCAATCTGGTGTTTTGGAAAAATAAGTTCAGGTGGCACATGGCCAGCCTCTCACCCTATCAGAGCTAGCTCCCTCAACAAGAGTTACAGAGAAGAAGGGCTGCATCTCACAAGAGCTGACACTCAGACTTTTTTGCTTACATGCAAGGTCTGCTCAGTAATTTCTGAAGGAGACAAACCTAAACGCAGTCTGCAAAACCCTGCCGAACTGACAGCATCAGAGGGAAATTTCATCCTCTAGGAGTCTGCTCTTCTTCATTTGTTCCTGGGGACACCTGCAAGGATTGGTGTGGAGACAACTTTCCAGGTGGGGACTCATACTTTAAAAAAAAAAGATAACCATTGCTTTATGACCTCATCTCCACTTAAGTGAGACAAATCAAAATGTGATCAGACTATGAGGGCAAATATACTTAAGGAAAAGGAATAATTTAAGACACATGTATCTGGCACTTAGTTTGTGAAGGGTAACTTGTTATATAATATGAAAAATTCTTGCAGGTCTCTGATCTGAACGAACAAATGAATGAGGAGAGATTGGACACTTTCTGGAAGCAGGGGGTGAATGGAGCCCTTAATGTGTGGGGACTGCACATAATATCATATTTAATCCTTCTGGTTATATACAAGGGAGGTAGTTTTTTTTCCCTGCATGTGACTGTTAAGAAGGTTGCTATACTTAAAGTCAGAAAAGCAAGAAGTAGATGAATACAAGCGTGTCTTGTCTGACTGAGCTTCACTATGTTGTGCTTTGCAGATATTGTGTTTTTTCAAATTGAAGGTTTGAGGTGACCCACATCAAGCAAGTCTATGGGCACCATTTTCCAACAGCATTTGTTTCTTTTGTGTCTCTGTGTCACATTTTGGTAATTCTTACAGTATTTCAAACTTTTTCATTATTATATTTGTTACAGTGCTCTGTGATCAGTGATATTCGGTGTTACATTTGTAATTTTGGGGGGATGCCATGAACTGTGCACATATAAGATGATGAACTTCATCACTAAATGCTGTGTGTTCTGACTGCCCTTCTGATGTCTCTCTCCTTCTCCTTGGGCCTCTCTATTCCCTGAGACACAACAATAATAAGAATAATAAGAAAGCAAAACAACCTCATTGCTGATATAGAAAATTTTAGTTGTCCAGATAGAAGATTAAACCAGCCACAACATCCCCTTAAACCAAAGTCTAATCCAGAGCAAGGCCTCTCTTCAATTCTATGAAGGCTGATAGAGGTGAAGAAGCTTCAGAAGAAAAGTCTGAAGCTAGCAGAGGTTGGTTAATGAGGTTTGAGGAAAGAAGATGTCTCCATAACATCAAAGTGCAGGGTGAAGCAGCAAGTGCTGAGAGAGAATCTGCAGCAAGTTATCCACAAGATCTAGCTGTGATGTTAATGACGGTGGCCTCACTAAACAATAGATTTTCAATGTAGATGAAACAGCCTTCTATTGAAAGATGCCATCTAGGTATTTCATGGCTAGAGAGAAGTCAATGCCTGGCTTCAAAGCTTCAAAGGACAGGCTGACTCTCCTGTTGGGGAGTAATGTAGCTGGTGACTTTAAGTTAAAGCCAGTGTTCATTTACATTCTGAAAATCCTAGGGCCCTTAAGAATTATGGTAAATTGGGAGGTCCGGGTGGCTCAGTCAGTTAAGCATCTGCCTTCAGATCAGGTCACGATCCCAGGATCCTGGGACCAAGCCCCATAGCAGGCTCCTTGCTCAGCGGGGAACTTGCTTCTCCCTCTGCCTGCTGCTCCCCCTGCTTGTGCTCTAACATCCTCACGCTCTCTCTCTCTGACAAATAAATAAATAAAATCTTTGGGATGCCTGGATGGCTCAGTCAGTTAAGCGTTTGCCTTCATCTCAGTCATGATCCCTGGGTCCTGGGATGGAGTCCCGCATCAGGCTCCTTGCCCGATTTTTAGAATGTTACATAAGCTTCACTGATAGAAACGAGGTGGGGTTTGTGAGGATTGACTCCAATTTTGAAAAAAAAGTTCTACTATGGGTAAAATGCTGTCAAACAGCATCACATGCGGCAGGGAAAAGATGGCAGAGGAGTAGGGGACCCTATTCCAACTGGTCCCAGGAAATTGAGCTGGATATCTACCAGACTCTGAGGACCCACGAAATCAGCCTGAGATGTAAGAAGCTAGATCTGGATCTCTACAAACAGAAGATCGCCAGCGGTTGGTTTCGAGGTACAAAGCGGGGAGCCCTGATTCAGCGGGCAGATATCAGAGGATAAACGGCAGCGGGAGGGAGCCTGGCCGCGGGGATCCTACACCACTGGTGAGTGACAGCCTCCTGCTCTGGGGATAGGGCACAGACTTGCAGACCGGTAGTGGCAGGGAAAGGACTTTAGACGGAAACCAGAGCAGTGTGGCCATGCGTGCGAACTGAGGGCGGCTGGCAGTTTTAGAAGCACAAAGGGCAGAGATGTGCCCCAACCTGGAGGCAGGACTGGGAACACTGTGGAGGGGCGCACAACCCAGGACTGCAGTTTATAGCAGCATAGACAGAAACAGAGAGACTGTGGCCTGGAGAGCTCACTGAATAACAGACTGCAATCTCTCTGCTCTGAGGCAGAGGGTTGGAAACAGTCTCTTCTGCTCTGACTCTTGGAAGAGACACAAAAACCTGCCAGGGAAAGCCGCCAGAGAACAAAAGCCCCAAAAAACCAGTTCCCACTGAGCCCATCCCCTGCAACAGGGGGACAGGGCAACACACATATAGACCAATGGAACAGAATAGAGAGCCCAGATATGGACCTTCAACTCTATGGTCAAATAATCTTCAACAAAGCAGGAAAAGATATGCAATGGAAAAAAGACAGTCTCTTCAATAAACAGTGCTGGGAAAATTGTACAGCCACATGCAAAATGAAACTCAACCATTCTCTAACACCATACACAAAGATAAACTCAAAATGGATGAAAGACCTTAATCTGAGACAGGAATCCATCAAAATCATAGAGGAGAACATAGGCAGTAACCTCTTTGACATCGGCCACAGCAACTTCTTTCAAGGTACATCTCCAAAAGCTAGTGAAACAAAAGCGAAAATGAGCTTTTGGGACTTCACCAAGATAAAAAGCTTCTGCACAGCAAAGGAAACAGTCAACAAAACAAAGAGGCAAACCACAGAATGGGAGAAGATATTTGCAAATGACACTACAGATAAAGGACTGATATCCAAAATCTGTAAAGAACTTCTCAAACTCAACACCCAAAAAACAAATAATCAAATCAAAAAATGGGTAAAAGACATGAACAGACACTTCTCCAAAGAAGACATACAAGTGGCTAACAGACACATGAAAAAATGTTCATCATCGTTAGCCATCAGGGAAATTCAAATCAAAACCACATTGAGATACCACCTTACATCAGTTAGGATGGCAAAAATAGACAGGGCAAGAAACAACAAATGCTGGAGAGGCTGTGGAGAAAGGGGAACCCTCTTACACTGTTGGTAGAAATGCAAGGTGGTACAACCACTTTGGAAAACAGTGTGGAGGTTGCTCAAAAAATTAAAAATAGAGCTACCCTATGATCCAGCAAGTGCACTCCTGGGTACTTACCACAAAGACACAGACGTAGTGAAAAGAAGGGCCATATGCACCCCAATGTTCATAGCAGCAATGTCCACAATAGCCAAACTGTGGAAAGAGCCGAGATGCCCTTCAACAGATGAATGGATGAAGAAGATATGGTCCAAATAGACAATGGAATATTACTCAGCCATCAGAAAGGATGAATACCCAACTTTTACATCAGCATGGATGGGACTGGAGGAGCTTATGTTAAGTGAAATAAGTCAAGCAGAGAAAGTCAATTATCATATGGTTTCACTTATTTGTGGAACATAAGGAATAGCAGGGAGGACATTAGGAGAAGGAAGGGAAAAATGAAGGGGGGGGAAATCGGAGGAAGAGTTGAACCATGAGAGAATAGGGACTCCAAGAAACAAACAGGGTTTTAGAGGGGAGGGTGGTGGGGGGATGGGTTAGCCCGGTGATGGGTATTAAGGAGGGCACGTCCGGCGTGGAGCACTGGGTGTTATATGAAAACAATGGATCCTGGATCACTACATCAAAAACTAATGATGTATTGTATGGTGACTAACATAACATAATTAAATTAAATTAAAAAAAAAAGTAAGCACCTTCTAAGTCCATCTTACTCTAGCTCCTACCTGGACAGGCAGCAGGAAGAAAGGTTTCCTCCTCCCCTAAGCAACAGCCCAGCCAATGAGCAAGGGTCACAACTCAGCCAATAAAAAGCCTCCAGACTTGAAACCCTTCCTTTCCTCCAATGGGCTTTTTGTTTAGAACAGCCTTCCCAACTTCTTTGTTCCTTCTATAAAAGAGTGTTTCTCTCCTTTGTTCTCCAGACCTGCCTACAATTTTCTATAGCTTCCTTATCCTGGATTGCAATTCCTTGCTATTCGCAAGTAAGCCATTTTTGATGGTAAAATAAATGAGTTTTATTTTTTAGGTTAACAGAGGAAACCAAGGCCCAGAAAGAGTAAGTAACTTCCCCAGTGTTACACAGCTTTTTCCTGGTGGAGTCAGGAGAATCACTAACGGCAAATGAATTTCAAAAGATATTATTTATACTTAAAAATGTGCTTGTTAATCTAAAGTGAAACTAATAGCTGGAATACACTGAAGTGTATGCAAGCGAACTAAAAAATGTAGAAAGCACGTCCTGTGCTTTCTACCAGTCTGATCCTTCCTTGGAGTTGGTGAAGATTTTAGTGAAGGTCCCACGGATGAAGAGACACTAAGGGGGACCTGGCCATTGGAAGAGAACTTACTACTCATCTTTCTGAATTGCCTCCAGCTTCTTCTCATTCCTGCTGTTTCTTGGTTCTCCCTCTAGGTTAAAGTATCTTCCACAATGTTCCCATTGCAAGGTGCCCAGATGCTGCAGACACTGGAGAAAGCCCTGAGAAAGAGCCTTCCTGAATCTTTAAAGGTGATAGTGGAAAATTCTGTGGGGCGGGCGGAGGTAAAGAATAGACACTTCCTGTGAAACAAGAAAAGAGCATCTGGTCTGTGACAGGTGCTAGTGGTGTTTTCTCTCACTGAGTTTGCATTACCTCTCAACAAGATATTTGCTATCATGTCTGTGTCAATGATGAGAAGATGGAGCTCAGGTGATTTACCTAATACCACATAAATAGTAAGTTCAGTGCTATGTTATGAACATAGGTATGCTTGGAACCTAACTGCCTTTTGCTTTGTGCTCTGTAGTTACAAAAGTGTTCCCCAGGGCTCCTGGGTGGCTCAATCGGTTAAGCGTCTGCCTTCGGCTCGGGTCATGATCCCAGGGTCCTGGGATCAGGGCCCACGTCGGGCTCCCTGCTCAGTGGGGAATCTGCTTCTCTCTCTGCGCCTCCTCCTGCTCATGTTCTCTCTCACTCTCTCTCTCAGATAAACAGATGTGAAAAAAATAAAGTGCTCCCTTACTCCTTTCCAAAAAAAACATTCTGTAATAACATTGGAATTTTGTCCAGAGTTCTCTTCCAAAGTTCACTGAGACTACATATTAATGTTTAAATTATTCTCCTGAGAAGAACACTTCCTAGGTGAGAGGTTAACCATCATGTCCTCTCTAAAATTCATAAGAAGTCAGTTCCTATTTTGAATTAAAATTCTTAGCTTCACTGAATGACTGCACATCAGGCTATTTTGTGACTGACTCCCGGTATCTCCCTTAACCTAGTACAACTGATCAGAAATCTCAGGATTAAGTAAGATGTACACATAAATACCTACATCCAGAACTGTGCAAGAGCAACTCTAATGACATGCTCGGTTGGTGCTCTGGACTCTTTTTTTTTTTAAGATTTTTTTTCTACTAATCTTTTTTTTCTTTTTTAATTTTATTTTGTTATGTTAGTCACCATACAATACATCATTAGTTTTTGATGTAGTGTTCCACGATTCATTGTTTTCATATAACACCCAGTGCTCCATGCAGTACGTGCCCTCAATACCCATCACCAGGCTAACCCATTCCCCCACCCCCTCCCCTCTAAAACCCTCAGTTTGTTTCTCAGAGTCCATAGTCTCTCATGGTTCGTCTCTCCCTCTGATTTCCTCCCCTTCATTTAAAGATTTTATTTATTTATTTGACAGAGAGATAGCAAGAGAAGGAACACAAGCAGGGGGAGTGGGAGAGGGAGAAGCAGGCTTCCCACTGAGCAGGGAGCCCAACTTGGGGCTTGATCCCAGGACCTTGGGATCATGACCTGAGCTGAAAGCAGACACTTAATGACTGAGCCACCCAGGTGCCCCAGCTTGTGTTTTTCAGTAGCACCAAAGGGATAGGGTGCACTCCAGTGGAACCAAAATACAACTGTGTGTTTTTGTGTATTGTGTATGTGTGTTTAGAGGACAATTGTTTTTCCCTGAAAAAGAAATTTCCGTAGACATAGAAATTAGATTTTTACTGTTATAAGACATCCCTATAAGATGCATACATTTTAGATAAGATAAATGCATTTGCCTCCCTCACTCCCTCACTTCCTCACAGGTCTGTTACTCCCTTCTTTCAGTATAAAGGAGAAAAATATTAGCATTACTTTATTTGGAGATCACATGGCTTAATTTTTAATTATTAGAAACAAGTTTCACTATTCTTTAATTACTATGAAAAAAATGACTTTGAGCCACAGCTGACCCTTGAAGAACATGGGTTTGAACTATATGAGTTCACTTATATGTGGATTTTTTTCAATAAATACAGTACACTACTGTAAATGTATTTTCTCTTCCTTGTAATTTTATTAATAACATTTTCTTCTAACTTACTTTACTGTAACAATACAATATATAACATACAAAGTGCATCTTAATCGACTGTTCATATCATTGGTAGGGCTTCTGGTCAATTGTAGGTTACTCATAGTTAAGTTTGGGGGAAATTAAAAGTTATACACAGATTTCCACCATGCGGGGAATCAGTGTCCCTAACCCCCATGTTGTTCAAGGACTAACTGTGATCCAAAACTAAAGTCACCCACTTTCATAGTTTCTCACTAACATTAATCTCTTTACCTAATATTTAACTCCTTTCCCTTGGTAATCCTTAAGATCCAGGCAACCTGGGCGCCTGGGTGGCTCAGTTGGTTAAGCGACTGCCTTCGGCTCAGGTCATGATCCTGGAGTCCCGGGATCAAGTCCCACATCGGGCTCCCTGCTCAGCAGGGTGTCTGCTTCTCCCTTGGACCCTCCCCCATCTCATGCTCTCTCTCTCTATCTCATTCTCTCTCTCAAATAAATAAATAAAATCTAAAAAAAAAAAAAAAAAAGATCCAGGCAACCTTGCAGAGAGACAGTCAATTTTGGGGGAGGAGGTTGCATTAGTCAGACACTCTACCAACAGTTGCCTAAGATATTTTTATGGTGAGTAGCTATTTTATAAATTCTTCAGGTCACAAGTTTTTCTTTGTGCTTTAGTGTAGAATTTTGTCATTTAAATTTCTCTTTACCTCTTCTGTTAATTGGACCCCAAATATTTTGAGAAAACTCTTGGTACATCCCAAGTGTCCTTTCTTGGAATATCTCTGTGGTAGGATAAGGTGGCCCTCTTAGTGCCTCAATTTTCATGAAGGATTAGCATTCTCCTTTGGTTGCATATTAAAGATATACATTTCCCCCCAATTGAAATCTAGAATAGTTGTATGCCAGGTACTTTTAATGGATGTATAACCTAAAACTCAAAACTTACTTGAGTCTCAGTTGAGAAAAAGTCCAGCCATTCCTCTAAGTGTTAGATATTAAATATGTTGTAGTGCGGGGCGCCTGGGTGGCTCAGTTGGTTAAGTGACTGCCTTCGGCTCAGATCATGATCCTGGAGTCCCGGGATCGAGTCCCACATCGGGCTCCCTGCTCGGCAGGGAGTCTGCTTCTCCCTCTGACCCTCCCCCGTCTCATGTGCTCTTTCTCTCAAATAAATAAATAAAATCTAAAAAAAAAATAAAAAATAAATAAATAAATAAATAAATAAATAAATATGTTGTAGTGCTTGTGTCAACTCCAGTTGAGTCAACTTAGAGTAGCTGCCTGGTATGTTCTGAATTCAGCAGGAAAAAAGGAAAAAAAATTTATTTAATTAGGCCATGGGAATAACAAAGAGTAAGAGTTCTACATGTTTTCAGGTCCCATAATGGATAATTTTGTAGTGCAAATTAACTTTACAGGCCCCAACTGCAAATGTGTAAAAAGATAACATCTATATTTTGCCAAACTATACTGAATTTCTATATCAAGACTCCACTTATGGTTGAAAGCAAAATAAATTTAGATAAACTCAGTCAACTGAGATTTTTAAAAAAGATTTATTTATTTATTTTAGAGAGAGAGAGAGCATGCTCAAGCAAGGGTAGGAACAGAGGGAGAGGGAGAGGGAGAGAGAGAGAGAGAGAGAGAAGCAGACTCCCCACTGAGTGCAGACCCTGATGCAGGGCTTGATCCCATGACCCTAAGATCATGACCTGAGCCAAAACCAAGAGTCAGATGCTTAACCGACTGAGCCACCCAGGCACTCCTCAACTGAGTTTTTTTGCCTTCTCTTTCTCCTTGGTCTAACATCAGTAATTTATGTGGGGTGGAGAGCAGGGGGGGATTATACTGGTATAGTCCTTGGTCATCATCTATCCATGGTGGAAATTATTAAAGTATACACCATCTTTTTGACCTCGGGCACTTGCATATTTCCATGCTGGTATCTGCAGAGGCTTCATGTTTACAGTTGCCATGAGGCCCATGCTGGTATCCACGGCTGTATTCCCCAGTCCCCAAACCACAAAAACACAGTGTCCACAGGCTAGGTCTCATTCATTCTCTCCCCCTCCTACTCTCTCAACAGCTCGTATAACAGGATGAGGGTGGGGATCCAAGACTGGACCCCAATCCATGGGACCTCACAGCCTATTCTCTTGAGCACTTTGCTGTAGCCTCTGCTTGTTGGTGGAGGTTCATTTAATCTTTCCAGAGAATAATGTGGTCATTTATGTTAAGGAGTTTTAAACATGTGCATAATCTTTGAGCCAGCAACTACTCTTCTGGATATTCTAAGAAAATAGGTGTCTGCACAAAGATTTCTGTGCAAGCATGTTCTATGAAGAATTATTTGTCAAAGTGAAAAGTTGGATATTGCTAAAATTACCACCAATATGCAAATAAATTGAATTGTGATACAGCCATATGATAGAATCCTATGCAGCCATCATAAAATAATTGAAAAATTTGCTGTTTATGAACAAAGAAATATGCCCATAATGCATTCAGTGGGGAAAAACACAATATAGCAGATCATTTTATGTTTGCAAAATTGTGTATTTCTATGTGTATGAATAGAAGAAAGTCTTGGAAGAGATATATTTAAATCCTAAAATGAAGAGTGGTATTCTTAAAATCATCAAATTTTATCTGTCCAAACATTTTACTGTATGCAGGAGTGATTTATATTGGATGGGGAGAAAAAGCTCTCCTCATTAGAGGGTAAAAAAAAAAAAATGTAGTACATGGAGATTGTTTGACCTAGATGCCTATTTGGCCTTATTCCAACATAAAATTCCATGATTTCATAGAAATAATCCTTTTCTGGATCAAAGAAGGCACTTTACCATCCCTTCCTAACAAGCCAACTCTCTCTCCCTTACTTGGGATGCTGTAGGTTTATGGGACTGTCTTCCACATAAACCAGGGAAATCCATTCAAGCTGAAGGCCCTGGTGGACAAGTGGCCTGATTTTACAACAGTGGTTATCCGCCCTCAGGAGGAGGTAAGGTGCCAGATGTGAAATGAATATGCCTCTGTGTTCATTTTTGCTGTGTGCCTACCATGGAGCTGGTAGTGTGGCAGCCCCAGGGGATACAGACATGAATTGTGTGATGGTGGGCAAGTCTCTGTCTTCAAGGAGCTCGCAGCCTAGAAGAAAAAATCAATAAGCAAATAAAACAACACTGTGTGAAGTGTGCAAGAACAGAAGATGTACAACACAGAAGTAGCCCAGGTGAAAGCTGATTCAACTATGGAGGTTGGAGATGGAGGTTACAGGATAAGGTCAGAGATACTTCCTGTTGGGAGGTTTCATCTGCACTGGATTTTGTGCATATTTTGTAGATAGTGTTAGGCTGACAAGAAAAAGAGGCCATTCTAACCAGAGAAAATGCCAAGGGTCAAGATAGGAAGGTGTGAGACAGAACGATGAAGTAGAACGATTATAAAAAGTAAATTTATAAAACTATAATTTCATGTGCATTTTGGGGAAACATTTAAAGATTTATTTCTATTTTAGAGATAGAGAGAGAGCATAAGTCAGGGGAGGAGCAGAGGGAGAGGGAGAGAATCTCAAGCCGACTCCGCACTAAGCGTGGAACCTGATGCAGGGCTAGATCTTACAACCCTGAGATCATGACCTGAGCCAAAACCAAGAGTTGGACACTTAACCAACTGTACCACCCAGATGCCCACATTTTGGGGAAACACTTAAAAACTAGAGAAGCTAAACAGTTAATACATTCCAGACAAAAATTCCTAAGCTTATCTTTAAACACCCAGTAAAATCATAAATTTATAAAAATACAAATATTATATCTTTCATAGAAATAAAATTATTTGAAAACCACTAAATTAAATAATATATAAAGAAATTTGTATTAGTAATAAAAACTGAACTGAGATACAATTATTTAATCTTTTATGTTAAACGTGATCTTAAGGAACAAAATGTATTAGTGGGTATCCTTGCTGACTTGACAGTGTATTTTTGGGCACATTTTCCAATTATTTTTTAAGAAGCTTTCTAATTCTGCACTGAGCTGTGGTGATATTTTCCTATGCCTCCCTTTGCCCAGTAATCCCATCGGTTATCAGAAGGAGTTAAGATGATGGAAGAGTAGGGGGACCCTAAGTTTGTCTCATCCCTCGAATACAACTAGATACTTATCAAATCATTCTAAACACCCAAGAAAACAATCCAAGATCTGAAAAAACAAATACAAGTCTACAAGTAGAAAAGCAACCACTGTTTGGAAGGTAAGAGGTACAGAGACTTGAATCTGGGGTGATACAGGTGAGGATGCAGAGGCAGGGAGAGAGCCTTCTTGAGGAGACTATTGCGAAGTATTATAAGCAGTGGAGTGCAGCACTGGAACTTTTAGTAGCCTGCTACAGCGGGGGATGTGCCTGGCCTAACGGTGCTCCGTTGGTGAGGCGGCTCAGGTGGCGAATTGGGGCAGAATCCCAGGTGTGACAGCATGGTCTCAGGATCCCCTGGGTTGCAAGAAGAGAGGCTGGTGCCTAAGTGCGGCAGAGTTTCCAGGTGTAGGAACGGGGAAAACAGCTGAGAACAGTGAGCGTAGGTGCTGGCTTTCTGCTCTGTGTTGCTATAAACTGCAAATGGCTGCGTGGTTGTGTGAAGCTTTCTTGCAAACAGGTCCAGCAAAAAGCAGAAGCATATTGAGACCCTCCCTGGGAGGAACAGCGCAGGTCTCCACCACAGGAGTCCCTAAAATTTGCGGAGTTTTGAAACTCAGCCATGTGCCTGAGATAAAAATGCTTGGATACGTGTAGGGTGAACACAGAATCCTGACAAAAGCCAAGGAGACAAAAGTGATTGATTGCTTTTCTCTGAGGGCTCACTGCTGAGTGGGCGCCAAGACTTTTCAGCTCCAGGGCTAGAGAGCCTGGCTCCCCCATTTTCATCCCCCGCTTCAGTGCTGAAAGCCTTCCCGGAGCAAAACAGCACCACCTAGTGGAGTCTGGAGCTGCTTACACTGAGCTCTGCCTCTGCACGCTGGAGGTGCATTTCCACTAGGACAAGTCCTCCTAAGAAGCAGCTCAAGTGGTGCCTCCCACCAGCACAAACAACTCGCTCACATCAAGTTAACTGATCATAGAGGCCTGCAAAGCTTCAGCTATTGGGGAAAACAGTATATAGCATTCTTTGTATTTTTATCCTTTAGTCATTTAGTATTATTTTTTCAATTATTTTTTATTCTTTTTTTATTTTTATACATACTTTATATCTTTATTGTTTCATTTTTTGTTTCCTTTCATTGTATTGTATTTTATATATATACATATTATATATGTATATATCATTGTACTGTGTTTTATATATATACACATATATGTATATATATTATATACATATATATTTTCTTTCTTTCTTATTTTGGGATCTAGTTTTTTTAACAAGCATACCAAAACACACCCAGGACCTAGGGGGTCTTTTCATTGTTGTTGTTGTTGTTGTTTCTTTCTTCTTTTCTTTTCTGGACAAAATGATAAGACAGAAAAATTCACCCCAAAATAAAGAACAGGAGATAGTACTCACAGCCAGGGATTTAATCAATATGGATATAAGTAAGATGTCCAAGCTAGAATTTAAAACAACGATTATAAAGACACTACCTGGGCTTGAAAAAAGCATAGAAGACACTGGAGAATCCCTTACTATAGACATAAAAGAACTAAAATCTAGTCAGGCCAAAATTAAAAACTGCTATTACTGAGATGAAGCCCCAAGTACAGGCCATAAAAATGAGTATGAATGAAGCAAAAGAAAGAATCAGTAATACAGAAGATGAAATGATGGAAAATAAGGAAGCTGAAAAGAGAGAGAAAGAAAAGTATTAGATCATGAAGACAGACTTAGGGAACTCAGCAATTCCACAGAACAAAATAGTATCTGTATTATAGCAGTCCCAGAAGAAGAAGAGAGGGGGAAGGGGGCAGAAGGTTAATTTGAACAAATTACAGCTGAGAATTTTCCTAACTTGGGAAAGGAAACAGGCATCTAAGTACAAGAAGCACAGAGAACTCCTTTCAAAATCAACAAAAATAAGTCAACACGTTGACATATTATAGTGAAACTTGCATATTACAAAGATAAAGAGAAAATTCTGAAAGCAGCTGGGGACAAGAGGTCCTTAACCTACAAGGGTAGATACATAAGGCTGGCAGCAGACCTGTCCACAGAGACCTGGCAGTCCAGAAAGGCCTGGCATGATATATTCAACGTGCTAAATGGGAAAAATATGCAGCCAAGAATACTATATCCAGCAAGGCTGTCACTCAGAATAGAAGGAGAGATAAAGAGTTTCCAAGACAAACAAAAACTAAAGGAATTCATGAACACTAAACGAGCCCCGCAAGGAATATTTAAGGGAACCCTTTGAGCAGAAAGAGACCAAAAGTAATAAAGACTAGAAAGGAACAGAGACAATCTACAGGAACAGTGACTTTACACGTACTACAATGGCACTAAATTCATATCTTTCAATAATTACTCTGAATGTAAATGGACTAAATGCTCCAATCAAAAGATATAGGGTATCATAATGTATAAAAAAAAAGACCCCTGCAACAAACAATCCAAAATTTGTATGGAACCAGAAAAGATCCCGAATAGCCAGAGGAATGTTGAAAAAGAAAACGAAAACTGGAGGCATCCCAATCCTGGACTTCAAACTATATTAGAAAGCTGTCATCATCAAGACAGTATGGTACTGGCACAAAAACAGACACATAGACCAATGGAACAGAATAGAGAGCCCAGAAATGGACCCTCAACTCTATGGTCAAGTAAACTTCAGCAAAGCAGGAAAGAATATCTGATGGAAAAAAGACAGTCTCTTCAATAAATTGTGCTGGGATAATTGGACAGTCACATGGAGAAGAATGAAACTGGACCAATTTCTTACACCATACACAAAAATAAACTTAAAATGGATGAAAAACCTCAATGTGAGACAGGAATCCATCCAAATCCTAGAGGAGAACACAGGCAGCAACCTCTCTGACCTCTGCCACATCAACTTCTGGCTAGACACATCTCCAAAGGCAAGGGAAACAAAAGCAAAAATGAACCATTGGGACTTCATCAGGATAAAAAACTTTTGCACAGCAAAGGAAACAATCAATAAAACTAAAAGGCAACCTACAGAATGGGAGAAGATATTCACAAATGACATATCTGATAACAGGCTAGTATCCAAAATCTATAAAGAACTAAGCACAAACTCAACACCTAAAAAACAAAAAATCCAGTCAAGAAATGGGCAGAATTCCTGCTCAGCAGGGAGCCTGCTTCTCCCTCTGCCCCTCCCCCTGCTTGTGCCCTCTTTCTCTCTCTCTGTCAAATAAATAAAATCTTAAAAAAAAAAGAAAGAAAGAAATGGGCAGAAGACATGAACAGACATTTCTCCACAGAACACATACAAATGGCCAACAGACACATGAAAAAATGTTCCACCTCACTCAGTATCAGGGAAATACAAATCAAAACCTCAATGAGATACCACCTCACACCAGTCAGAATGGCTAAACTTAACAATGCAGGAAACAACATATGTTGGTGAGGATGCAGAGAAAGGGGAACCCTCCTACACTGTTGGTGGGAATGCAAACTGGTGCAGCCACTCTGGAAAACAGTATGGAAGTTCTTAAAAAGAGTTAAATATTGTGTTACCCTGCCACCCAGCAATTGCACTCCTTGGTATTTATCCAAAGGATACAAACAGTGATTCGATGGGGCACCTGCACCCCAATGTTTATAGCAGCAATGTCTACAGTAGCCAAAATATGGGAAGAGCCCAGATGTCCACTGACAGATGAATGGATAATGAAGATGTGGTGTATATGTACAATGGAATATTACTCAGTCATCAAAAAGAATGAAATCTTGCCACTTGCAATGACATGGATGGAACTGGAGGATATTATGCTCAGCAAAATAAGTCAGTTAGAGAAAGACAAGTACCATATGGTTTCACTCATATGTGGAATTTAAACTGGTACAGCCACTGTGGAAAACAGTAAGGACATTCCTCAAAAAACTAAAAATAGAAATACCATATAATCCAATAATTGCATTACTGGATATTTACCCAAAGAAAAGGAAAACACAAATATGAAAAGACAGATGCACCCTGATGTCTATAGCAGCATTATTTATAATAGCCAAGATAGGGAAGTAACCCAAGTGTCCATCGATAGAAGAATGGATAAAAAAATTTAGTGTTTGTGGAGTATTACTCAGCCATAAAAAGAATGATATCTTGCCATTTGTGACAACATGGAGGGACCTAAAGGGTATAATGCTAAGTGAAATAAGTCAGACAGAGAAAGACAAATGCCATATGATTTCCCTCATATGTGGAATCTAAAAAACAAACAAGCAAAAAACAAAAATCAGAAACAAGGGGCGCCTGAGTGGCTCACTCAGTTAAGCACCTGTCTTGGGCTCAGGTCATGATCCCAGGGGCCTGCGATCGAGCCCCGCATCAGGCTCCCTGCTGAGTGGGGAGCCTGCTTCTCCCTCTCCCTCTGCCTGCTGCTTTCCCTGCTTATACACACTCTCTGTCAAAAATAAATAAAAATCTTTAAAAAAAAATCAGGAACAAATCCATAAATACGGAGAACAAACTGATGATTCCCGAAAGGGAAGAGGGTGGAGGGATGGGCAAAATGGGTGAAGGGGAGTGGGAGGGACAGGCTTCCTGTTAGGGCATGAATAAGTCATGCGGATACAAGCTACAGCATAGGGAACTCAGTCAGTGGGCGTGGAAGAGCCTTGTATGTGAGAGACGGTAGCTCTACTTGTGGTGAGCACAGCATAGACTACAGGCTTGTTGGATCCCTATGTTGTACACCTGAAACTAATGTAACATTGTGTGTCAACTACACTTCAATTTTAAAAATTCACAGTAGAGTGGAATTTAGAAAAAAGTATTGCAATCATGAAATATGAAGAATTTATTTTATTCCCCTTTTCCCAATGACAATAGGAGATGATAGATGATTTTGATCATTACACCAATACTTACCAAATCTACTCCAAGGACCTCAAGAACTGTCAGGAATTCCTTGGCTCACCAGAAGTCATCAACTGGAAACAGCATTTGCAGATCCAAAGTAAGAGAAATGGGATGTGTGCAGACTCACTTCTCTGTCCTGAACAATTTTCCCTATGAGTCATATCTCCTACCCCCGGAGCTCCAAATTTTTGGAGCCTACTGCCAAATTTTTAACTCACTTGTAAAGGGAGGAAAAAATACCCTCAAAGCTTGCAAAGAATGGGTTTTATAAGGAACCATAGTATAATTTCTTGATAGCCTAGGATTTATGGCATATTTTGCAGACATATCCAGGATCCCTTTGAATGACTGGATACCAAAGCAGAGCTTCCCCTAGGGCCTTCCATTCCTGGAATAAGAATGACAATTTGTGCCATAAAGCTCCTCCCAGATCATGAAGGGCAACTGTCATGGTTGTGGACATGCCCCCAGAGTCAGACTCCCTAGAACGGCATCTGCCTGTTACTTGCTATGTGATTCTAGTCACATGACTTAACCTCTCTGAGACTATGACTTTCATATACAAAAATGAGGATAGTGATAGTTTCTAGAACACAGGGGCATTGGAAAGATTAAATGAAATCTTGAATATGAATCTCTTATTACAATACCTGGATGGGTCTGTTAACTTTTGATGTGTAGCAAACCGCATAATTCTGTGAATCAAGTTTAACAGCTCTTTGTTTATTTGTTTTGTTTCGCTCTACCTTTCTTATCTCAGTGTCAAAGATTAAAAATTGGATAAAAATTAGAGAAATAGGATAAAGTCACAGAATTAGAAATTTCTATAAATGTTCTATAAATGTTTCTGCTGGTATCCTCAAAATGCAAGTTTTTTTTAATATGGAAGGGGCAACTTGAAACTTTTAGCCAGTAATTTTCCTTTTTTATTCCTGTCTAATACAGCCTAATCTGAGAAGAAATATCACATATAAAAGCTGTAAAACATGTGATCTGTCTATACTGTAGAATTTAATGGAATAAATCAAGTGGTCTCACTTGAGTTTGCTCATGCAGTTGCAGTCAGTTGGTGGGTGGACTATGGGCTGATTGCTGCAGCACAGCCTCAGTCACATATCGGAATGATGGTTCTGGCTATCAGGGTTGGCTGCTATGGTGATAGCATGTTAGGAGCCCGTGACTCCCGCAGGCTAGCCGAGGCCTATTCATATGATATTGGTTTCAAGGTAATCGAGACCACAAGGAGAGGGCTAGCCCCAGTGTTCAAGCATTTTTAAGTTTTTCCCCCGCATCAAATTTATTTTTCCCCACTGGCAAAAGCAAATCATATGGCCAAGGTTAGATGCAGTGCAGGAGAGGACTACTCCAGGGAATGGATACAAGGACATGTGGGCAAATGTAGGCCATTCCTGCAACAATGTACTATGCTGAGAACACAGTAAGTGCACAATGGACACTGACTACTATTTTTCTAAAACACTTCTCTCCTTTCATTATCAAAACTACATGATTATGAAGTCCAGAAAACTTGGTTCCAGTCTTGCTTTGCCACTAATGGCTTAATGAATTTCCGGGCCCATTTTCACGTATGTAAAATGGGGGAAATTTCACAAATCCTGCAGCAGCACTGAGCCTAGGTTCTCTGTAAATCCCAGACACTTTCTATTCCACTGGAACGCTTCTCCACAGAATGTTCTTAAACCACCGTCTCTCCTTATAATGCCATCTAGGTTCACAGCCCAGCCTGAATGAAGTGATAGAAAATCTTGCAGCCTCTCAATCTGTCCAAGTCAAGCAAACACAGTGCTTTCTCTATATGATGGCTAAAGCAGTAAAGAAACTGGTTCCTTCCCTGCTGGACATAAAGAAGTTATCACCCAGCGGTGGCAAACCCAAGGCTATGTGAGTTTGCTACAAGTCACTCTGCATTACTCACAAACCCCACTGTGATGTAGCCTCCCGTTTTCTTTCCCTGCTTCCTCTCTGGCCCATCTGCAATCAACATTCTTCAATGCAGCCAGAGTAATTAAAAAAAAAAAATGTAACGCAGACCATGTTCCTCCTCTGCTGAAAATACTCCACCATTTCCTCTCTCATCTGGAATATATCAAACTTCTGCCCGCTTCTTTGATCTATCCTGTTCTTCCTGCGTGCTTGCTCCAACAACAGTGGCCTTTTTCTGTCCTTCTGTCACCGCAAGCTCACCAATACTCAGGGACTTTGCATCTGCTATTTCCCCTGACTACTCTGTCTCTCGAGACAATAGAGGTAAGAACAAACACAAACCTCCATTCTCATAGATTTTGTTTTTCTCCTGGACCTCCAATAGCAACCAAGAGATGTTTAAATTCTCCTCCCTGGATGTTACCCACGCTCCCTTGGTGAATAAATTCTGGCATTTCGGTGGCAATGAGAGGAGCCAGAGATTCATCGAGCGCTGCATCCGGACCTTCCCCACCTTCTGCCTGCTGGGGCCCCAGGGGACCCCTGTGTCCTGGGACCTGATGGACCAGACAGGCGAGATGCGGATGGCGGGGACCGTGCCTGAGTACCGGGACCAAGGCCTTATCTCTCACATCATCTATTCCCAGACCCAGGCTCTAGACAAACTCGGCTTCCCCCTGTATTCTCACACAGACAAGAATAACAAAATTATGCAGAAGATGTGTTACAGGCTGCATTACGTCCCCATGCCCTGTGACTGGAACCAGTGGTACTGTGTGCCTCTGTAAAGCAGCCCTGAACATAAGACCATGTCAGATGGGCCTGGGCCTGGGTGGACAGAGGGAAATAAGAAATTGTAAATGTAACCATCACTAAAGGAATGCCACTATTTGGGCTCTGGGGAAGCATCATGATTGGTCAACACAACCACCCTGGTCCCTGCACACAAATTGCAGGTGGGCCTCTTTAGATTTATCAGTATGAAACAGCCCCAGGTATTCCCGATGTGGCCCCTACATAACTGAGCCCCCCACACACACTTCTGGGATCACTTCTCCCAGAATTCCTAGGACATGGATTAGTAGAGCTTTGACAAATTTTTCAGGGAGGGGTAATATTTTCTGGGCATTATGATTTATTCCTCTTCCTTTCTTTGGCTCTTTCCTTAGTTATCAGCGAGTGTATTCTGCTCATTAGGTTTGTAGAGATTATCTTATCCTCTGATTGCTGCTTTAAAAGTACGTTAAATACATAACAAATATATATATGAGATGTTAGGTTAAACATAGTTACACATGATATAGCAGAGAGAGTTAATATGAAAAAGAGATATGTTAGCCTGTCCTCACTCCCACACTTTCCTAAACCCACCTGAACCCAAAACAATAAAGAGATTTTGTGTTTTACTGCATAAGGTGAAATGAAGTGGTTCGTGATGGGGAGAGCATGGGTGAGTTTATGGAGAGAGGGAAGTGGGAGCAACCAGGGAGTAGTTGAGAAGAGACAGAAGATGATAGGGAGGGTATGGATATGTATTGCCCCACTTGTCCTCAGCACGTTATTTCAGGATGCCTGAATTCTATGAAGTTCATGGGAGAATCCGGTTGGGAGTGTGGCAGGTTATTCTTCCTGGTAGGGACAGGTGAGCTGGGAGGGTTCCTTTGCCCCAGCAAATCACCTGGATTAAGAACCTGTTTCCTTCTGGTCCACCTAAGCCTGGCATTAGGCTATGGAATTGGGGATGAAATGCCCCACCCACCCACACACACAGAAATAGACTGAGGTTTAATTTCTTGGCCAGTCAGTGTTTCTCAACCTTAGCACACTGGACATTTTAGGCTGGACAATTCTCTGACTGTCCTGTGCTTTTGTAGAATGCTTAGCAGGACCCCTGGCCTCTACCCACTAATGCCAGTAGCATCCTCCATCCTAGTTTTGATAACTAAAAATGTCTCCAGATATTGATAAGTGTGCACTGCAGGCAAAGTCACCTGTGACTGAGAGACACTGGTCTAGAGAAAGGATTCTCAAACTTGAGCCTGCATCAGAATCACAGACTGTGATTTAACTGTCAGGGCTGTTAAAACACAGGCTGTAGCCTAACTCCTAGATTTCTGATTCAGTAGATTTTGGGTAGAGCCCCAGAATTTAAATTTCTAACAAGTTTCCAGGTGATCCTGATGCTGCTGGTCCACGAACCAGGCTTTGATAACCACTGGTTTAGAGAAATAATAGAATATATTATGTCCTAAAGCCATAGATGAAAATTCATATTGCACACTACTTAGGCATATTGTTTTACTTTTGTAGGTGTAATGTAAATTTACATTCGAATTGATAATATTATTTCATTATTAAGGAAGGCACGTGTTGCAATGCGCACTGGGTGTTATACGCAAAGCAATAAGTCATGGAACACTACGTTAAAAACTAATGATGTACAGTAGGGTGACTAACATAACATAATAAAAAAATTTTAAAAAAATAAATTGCTAAAGCTTCTAAAACATTGTCATTAAACAGTGCAATAGGCAGACACCACATTATACTTTCATTACTTCCCCATAAAACCTGCTCACTAGAGAATGATTTTTTAATAAAGGAAAAGAATATCTTCAGCTATTGAACACTGTTCCATGGAAAAACACAGACCTTTGGGTGCTAAGAGTTGCCCAGGATGACCATTTACCAGGGCTGTTGGAAATCTGACCTGACGGATCTTTTGTAGTCAGGCTTCTGGTATGGAATGAATAAGTCATGGGAATAAAAGGTACATCCTAGGGAATATTGTCAATGATACTGTAGTAGTGCTGAATGGTGACAGGCGGTAGCTGTGTTTGTGGTGAGAACAGCATAAGGTATAGAGATGTTGAACCACTATCCTGTACATCTGAAACTAATGTAACAGGATGTGTCACCTCTAGTCAATTTAAAAAAATGAAAAAAAATAAAAGCAGGTAATTCTGGAAAAAGAAATCTAAAAAAGACTGCCCTGGGCCCTCACTGTAAAAGATTCTATCGGGTTTTCCTGATAGCCAATATAGCTGTAAGCTTACACAAAGGCTTATCCCCAGATGAAAAGAATTGGAAGAATTCACCCATTAAAAGTTGTAAAGGCAGTTTTTCCAGGGAACCTCTGAAAGCAGATAGTATGCAGAAGATGACTGCCTGAAAACAAGCAAAACAAAAACAAAACCAGAAATCCAGATAAATTTCTCAGCTTCCACTAAAGACCACAGAAACAAAATTCTACTAATAGTCCCATTTTCCTTCACATGTTTATATCCTTTCTTGTTTTGATTTTTTATTGTATTATCCTTTTTTCCAGTTTAAAGTTATCCAATTCTGATTTTCTGTCAAATATTCCCCTTAACTGCTAATTAACTTCTTTAGGTTCTTTTTTTATTTTGAGAGAGAGAGAGAGAACACAGCAGGAGAGGAGCAGAAGAACAAAGAGAGAGAGAATCTTAAGCAGGCTCCAGCCCAGTCTGGAGCCTAAGGTAGGGCTCGAGATCGAGACCTGAATCAAAATCAAGAGTCCGACACTTAACCAACTGAGTCACCTGGGCACCCCAACTTCTTTAGGTTCTAAGGACAATTCCATCTTAATTCTATAATTTATTTCTTTCAAGCTATTGCTAATGCAGTCAACTTAAAGAATTTCTACACAGGGCCGCTCCTGGGGAAAACCCCACAAATAGTGAACATATATTCAACTGATGCTATTGAATTTAATTTTGAACAATGATATTCTGGTCAACAACTAGGCTTTAGGAAGATTAGAAAGATACTATTGATAAACATTCATGGAATGTTTGCGGGAACAACACTTTTGTAAAGTTTTGTCAACAAGAATTGACCAAATTTGATAAAACTTATCAAATATTATCACTCAATCTTAACCACATGAATCACTCCAACACTCGGTCATACTAGCTTTTTGTGAGCTTTCAGAGGTATTTTCTTGGTAGTAATACTGCAAATCAGATCCCAAAGACTCAAACATTTGCTTTTTTTTAAAAAAAAAAAGATTTATTTGAGAGAGCGAGTGAGTAGGGGGTTAGTGGCAGAGGGAGAGAATCTGCAAGCAGACACCCCCCTGAGCATAGAGCCCCACGTGGGACTTGATCCCACGACCCATGAGATCACAACCTGAGCTGAAACTAAGAGTGGGATGCTTAACTGACTGAGCCACCCAGGCAGCCCCCACAAGGACTCAAACATTTGAAACCTTGAGTTATCCTAACAAAGCAATACAAGGTTCAAAATTCTTAGACATAGAAAGAAGTTTAAAGATGGTACCATACTGTTACATTAATCTTACCAATAATTATACTCTTTTTGTACAATATATAGAAGAAGGAAATGTCCTTGTGCTGTAAAGATGGACATATAAAATATTCCTGAGAATCAGAAACTGTTTGTTCATATTAAAACCAAGATATACAAAACCCACAGCATTAGCAAATTAAAACATACCTCACAAAAGTCTCTTGTCTTCCTATCCTCTAAGGGAATCACATTCTTTTATGCCATGCCAGGACTGTGGGAATCTTAGGCCATTCCAGTGTATCTCTCCCCCAGCTCCCTCAGTGGACCATGCGTCCTTTCAAAGAGTCTGAAAATGTCAAGTACACCTGGAATTATACCTGCTAGCTGATGAGACACCTCTTGAGAACTGGAACTGGACAGCCCAAGGTGGTCATCTATTACTGTGCTTCCAATTATCTCTCATAACAAATAACACTCGTCAAGCCATATAGCAATATCAAACTAGCTTATGTACTTCAGCCCACAGGGTTAGGGGTACTACAATAGGCTTGGATTTTCTTTGGCCAACTGCTGGGAATCTGTGCCATTGCAAACACACTGGATTAACACCAAAGGTGAGTTGGAACAATCTAGTCTAAGATAAATAAAATCCTACCTGACTTCAAACGACTTCTTCCTCTCCTAAGTTAGTTCCCTTATGAGATGGAGACAACTTCAATACTTTTATCTGTTTTCAAGTTACTTCATGTCTGCTAAGATATCTGGTTACATTTGGATAATGTTTTAACATGATTTTGCTTTTCTTCAATACCAGGAATCTCAAATTAAGGCAAAGGTTTATCTAACTTTGTGACTTGAACATTTCCACTTACATATAATGAGCTGGTTAGGAATAGTCGCCTTGAGTCAACACTGATGAGGAATTTGATGAGGACGTTTAACAGGAAAAGCACATACAGTTATCTGGACTGTGTACGACTGTGCTGTAGGACAACATATCATCTCTTTTTTATATTCTTCTCTTCGTTGCATCATTTTTCTCTTTATTAGCATAATCATATCAAAAAGGGGCTGGATCTCCAACCACAGGGAAAAGTATTTCACTCAGTATTTTGAGAGACACATTTACATAGGCAACCTAACCTACATTAGGGTAATTTTGTTTTGTTTTGTTTTGTTTCACTTAAGAAACACAATATAGGGGCGCATGGATGGCTCAGTCGTTGGGCGTCTGCCTTTGGCTCAGGTCATGATCCTGAGGTCCTGGGATCGAGCCCCACATCAGTCTCCCTGCTCTGCGGAGAGCCTCCTTCTCCCTCTCCCTCTCCCACTCCCCCTGCTTGTATTCTTGCTCTCGCTCTCTCTCTCTGTCAAATAAATAAATAAAATCTTCAAAAAAAAAAAAGAAAAGAAACACAATATATATTTTATATTCATCAGGAACTTGCCTAAGCATTTCACTAATGTTAACCTATTTAATTAAAAAAAAAACAATTAGTAACAGTGGGTAGTATTATTAACTCCACCTACATAAGAGGAAACTAAAGCATAGAGAGATTAGATAACTGGCCAAAGGCACACAACTGGTAAATGGTAGCCTCAGGGTCCAAACCCTGGGATACAACCAGAATTCCAAACTTGCAGAACCAGTTCTCTGAACCCTTGACCCAGAGGGAGAAACTGAATGCCTCTGGTTCCTATACCAACTAATAGAAACTTATCCACACCTCCAGCTTTTTAAAAGGGCTAGGTCTACATTAAGAGCTTCAGCTTAGTGATTT